GGGTCAGGGATCCCCATGGGGGGTGTCGGGGGGTGAAACCCCTACCCCGGCTTGGGCCCCGGAGATCCCCGCGTGACAACCCTGATGGAGGCCCAGCTGCCACTCTGTCCCCTCATCCTCTCTTCTGAGTGGGAGTATGACCACCCCACCGGCCAGAGTATGGGGGGGGGCAGCGCTGTGTTGTGTTTACTCATGTAATCTTTGATGAGAATCATCTTTTTGGGGTCCTCCCCCTCCTCCCAGGTGTCACTGATCTCTGCCTGTTCTTCCAGTCCTTGGAGAGGCCGCAACCGGTCTTCGCCCGTTGCGGGTTCTATGGAGGCCTGGGGGTGTCCATCTATCTGAGGGGGGGGGCGGTAGTCAATCGGGGTGAATGGGCCAATGTCGAGGTCCGGTATGTCCCATTCAAACTCTGATCCTGAGCTTTTGTCCAGGTCAGAGCTTTGTCCATCCTCATCTGTCTTGGAGTCCGACTCCCATCCTTTTTGTTGTCGTGCTATCGTCAGTTGAGCCCCGACATTGTCTGTTGGGTGTGGGCCCGTGGGGGTGCTATTTCCTGTGTCTGAGGATGGCTTGATGTGAAGCATGGGCCTGAGGAGGTACGGCGGGACCAGTTAGTTCTGACCTGTAGTCACGAGGGCTACATTTTGCTGGTCTTCTCCGATGGTGCTCTCTAGTTCCTGGATGATTATTGCAGGCCAGACTATGCCCTCCCACGTGAGGTCTGATTGGTTTGTGGTTGTCTGGGCTGCCAACAGTGTTGTGCAGTCTGTCGTGGCATTCTCTGTGTGTTGGCGTGCTTTTCCCACCCTCCAGCGGTTGCTCCAGCAGTTGCTGGGTTGTCGCTATTCCTGATTGGTCATGCCTGTTTAGCTGGAGGGGAGGCTGTTGCCCCCCTACCAGCGCATCCAGGTCTCCCATCATTGGGTTGTGCGCTCTTCGGGATTCCTAGGGGCCCTGGCTTCCCGTTGCGACAGGCCTTTGGCCAGGGGATGCTGATCCCTCGATACTCGCCCAGGTCGGGGCCGCCGAGGTCCCTGTGGAGGTACCTGGTCGTTGCTCCTACAGTTGATGGGCTGTCGTTATTTCTGATTGGTCTTGCCTGTTCGGCGGGGGGGGAGGTTGTTGTCCCCCTCCGTGCGCACTCATATCTCCCATCACGGGGTTGCGCACGACCGCACTATCAATCTGTACATGTGTGAGTGTGCATGCACGAGGATATGGTGAGGTCATAGCCCTCGTATGTGGGTGTGTGAGTTTGTGAGTGAGTCCTTGTGTAGGGGTGTGTTTTTGTATTTGTATTCTGCGGGTGCGAACGTGGCTGTCAGGAGTGTGTGATTCGATCAGATTTATGGCAAGTCAATTACGGAGTTCGGGTGTGTACAAATGTGACATGGTCCGGAGATGCCCCTCAGCATTCGGGGTTGGGGGAGGAAAGGGGGGAAGTAGGGGGGGAGGCGCCCAGGGACTACAGACTAGTCTTTCGAGACTGGCCGGTGGTTGACCCCAGAATCCCACTGAGACCAGCAACGGAGTTCCCAGACCATTTCCCCCCCCATCTGCTTGCCCTAATGGAAATCGTGCAAGGGGCAGCCTAGGTGGACACTGGACTCTTTTTCTAGCACAGAGGTTCAACATAGGGATGCGCTGAGCCCGGTTCTCAGCACGAGTATATGGTTCTCAGCACAAGGATTTTTTTTGCAAAACGTCGGAAAAGGGTAGCTCGACGTTGGCTCAGAGAAAGGAGACCCTGGAGGGTTAGGAAGGACCCACCGGTGCCCCCCGGTGGCTCCCTCCGATACCCTGCCAGGCCAGGGGTTAGGATTGGTTTAGGGTGAGGACTACCATGGGACGCTGGACCCAGTTTCCAGCACGATGATCTGTTTTGAAGGTGTCATGTTCAAGGTTTCAAAAGATGTATTTATGGGACGCTGGACCCGGTTTCCAGCAGGTGACGGCGTGACGCTAATAGATGGAGCACCATGGTTTATAAAAAAAAAAAAGAGTTCGGGTGTGTACACCTGCAAGCAGGGAGTGGGCGGTGATGGGTGTTTGTGGAAATTGTGGGTTGTTGTGTCGTGGATGTTGGCAAGTGGGGCGAGATGGAGGTGGGGGGAGAGGGGGGGAGGGTAAGTTAATGTTGGTGCCTTTATACTAGCGGCCGGGTAAAGATTACCGATCGAGTTGGGAGAAGGGGCTGGGCAAGTCGGGATCGGATTTAGAGAGGCTTTTAGTCAGGTGATTTATTAGGGGTCGGGACGGGGCGATGAGTCAGGATCGGGGCGATGGGGTTCCCGGCCAAGGAGGACCTCACCATCCACCAATCGGTGCACTTGCACTCCTGTCGTGATGTATCCGCGTCCTCGCTCCTCTCACTCAGGCGCTGTTTTCGCGACCTGCTTGCGTCCTCCCTCTCGTTCCACGTGTCACAGCTCACGTCCTTCGTCGATCTCTCCACTCGTCACTCCCTCAGCTCATCGCGACCTCCACCACCAAGTCAACACAGCTTTGTGTGCGTCATTCCAGCCGCTCCAAAAGTCTCATCGCTGTCCCTCCGCCCCCTTATCTCTGCCGATTCGTCTCCTGGTTCTTGACCAGGTCTGCTTCTTTCGGTTCTCCCAGGTGCGTTTCCACCTCCAGGTCGTCTCGCTGTGTCCCCGTCCTGCTCTTTCCCTCCCTGTCAGTATCCGGTCTTCCGCACTCCACTTCTTTTGCCACCTCCCTCCGCTTACTCCTCGTAGTATTCTCACCGTCTGTGTTCATCCGGTCGTGTCATCGTCCATTCGTCGTTACCGGAGCATTCCACCTTTGTGCCCAAGGGCTACCGAGGAGATTACCGTTGTCGCCCCCTTCCTCAGAGGTAGGGTTATGGCAGCACGGTCCCTCGCCTTCCTTGGCTATGCCGAGGGAGTCAACCGGAGTGCGGGGGGATCTTGCCCATCCCTCTGGTTAGTGTGCTCATGCTAGCGGGGTGATGCTTCCGTAGTGCAATGTCTGCGGTTGCTATCATTCCCTCTCATGTTCCCTTCGTCAATTTCCCTGACGTACCCCAAGCCCCCTGTCCTACCCTAGTGTTGACCACCCAGAGGCCAGGACCATCACCCATCACCATCTTTGTGGGGTGGACCTGGCCGGACAGCGGTCGTCGGCACCCAGGCTGAGCAGGGGTTGAGCAAGAACCCCTGCTCAGCCCTCGTTGAAGCAGAGTCACACAAGCCCAGGGGTACTTTGGGAGCTAGGTATGAATATGCTTGTGCAGGCCTTCATGAGCGAGTTCAGAAGACTCCCATCGAACACAACTGACTTGATAGCATAGTTGATAGCCTAAGTGATAGCCTAGTTGATAGGTGAGTTGTGGTATGAGACAAAGCTGGAGATCTTTTGTTTCCTTGTATGATCTCAGCCAGTACTAGGATGACAGTTATGCCAGCCACACAAATTGGACCCTGGAGTCCATTCCGGTACCTCAGTAAGTCTGAGCAAGGAATAACCAGCACCACCCGGAACAACCTGCTACCATCGCCCCCCGAACACAACACACCCTCATTTTGGCTGTATTGCACCCGAAAGATAGCTTGAATACATTCTGTTTTGGGACATACGCAGGCTTGTTGGGGTGATTCAACCACTACCTCGGAGCTTGCGCTAGTGCTAGCGCCCTGACGCCGGCGGACCGGTAGGCCCGGCTCCCCCGGCTCGACTAGCGTCTGGGGAGGTGAGCTCCCAGGCTGCTAAGCCTGTCCACGCGCCCGACAAAAGCGCATGGCTCTTTGATTGCCACGTGGAATCTGCTGCAGGTGAGGTGTATGTCCGCGACGCGCGGGTAGGGGTAGCGCCAGCGATGAAGAATGACGACAAATAGCAATAGGTGGCGCAACAATCTGGGTGAGTGATGGAGATGGAGGGGGAGCTACAACGTGGGGCACTTCGACTAGAGGATATGCTCTTCGATAATGAAGACGAGGTCTCGCCTGCAGAGGATGATGAAGGTGAGCAAGATGACGATCGCGACGTGCTCCACTATTATACAAATATCTGCGTTGTATGTGAGACCTGGGAAACCGAAAGTGAGACAAGTTGTGATGTTGCTGTGAGTGAGAGCGACGAGCATGAAGAGGGGGCAGGAGAGAGTTGGGTCAACCTGATGGCACTCTCTTATCAGATTGAGGATGAGAGTGCAGTTGGCGATGGAGAAAAGGAATATGCCACTGATGACACAGGTGAGTGGGAGGTTGAGGATGAGAGTGCAGTTGGCGATGGAGAGAGGGAATATGCCACTGATGACGCAGGTGAGTGGGAAGGGGAGTGGGGGCTATTGGCAACGGTGGAAATGGTGGTAGCAGCAACGGCGACGGCAACGGCGAAAGCAGAAGCAAATACAACAACAGTAACAACAACATTGTCAACATCAACAACAACAATAATGGAGGGGGAGCAGGGGTTTATGGCAGAGGTGGTGGTTGTGGTAGAGGAGAGGCAAGGAATGGAAGAGATTGGCAAGAAGGGTGGGATGGTTGACAACAACAATGACAACAACAACAATAACAACTTCAACAATGGCGACGAGCAGCGAATGAGCAAACTGGGTGAGACGGGCATGAAGGAGGATAACAACAACAACAACAACAACAACAACAACAACAACGGTGACAACAACAAGATGGAGGAGAGGGGAGAGAACGCTGACAGCAACAACAACAACAACAAAAACGACAACAACAACAACAACAACAACAAAGACGACGAAAACAACGAGATGGTTGAGATTGGAGAGGATGATGACAACAACAACAACAACAACAACAGTAACAATAACAACGACGGTGAGCAGGGATTGGGGGAAAAGGGTGAGAAGGATGACACTGACAACAACAACGACGACGATAACAACAACAACAACAACAACAACAAAAACAACAACAGTAATAGCAACAAGAATAACAGCAATCACGACGACGGCGGCAGCGACAACCATGGGGGCAGCGGGGCAGAGAGTGGTGCTTCTACATCCAAGCTCCTTACCAGCATCACGGGAAAGATGTCACCATCAGTGCAGTGGGGGGGAATCTGTAGCTTGTTGCGGCTGGCGAAGTGGGGTTTGAGGTTGAAGGTACGACTTACCGTTCCCCCCCACCCCTACCCGGTGTTTTCTCATGATGAATCGTGTCTTCTTTTCTGGCGACGGGTGGGGATAGGATAGATGATCTCCCTGCGATGATTAGGGTTGATTGCCTCTCATATTTCTAACCCTCAACTCTTAATCATGAAAGGATTGTTGATGCCTTTTGGTGATACAGGTGAGCCAAGTACATATACAGTCTGCCTGCACACATCATACTACAGAGATGCTGGACTCGGTTTCCAGCTCACATAGAGTACATCAGCTCTGGGGTTTCGCTTCATATCTGTGTTAGGGTTCGATTTCTGGCTTGATTGATAGAATTGGGCTTGATGCCTCGCTTACTATGGTGCTATGCTAGGTTAGGGGATAGGGTTTTCCCTTCAGGGGACATGTATTAATCAATGAATGAAGACAGACAAATTGGATGTTGTCTTATATGGATTGCTGTACATATACAGATAGTTTCTGACTGTAGGAGATAATTACACACCACTGTATAGGGACGCTGGACCCGATTTCCAGCTGACACACATCACACCATTGTAATACGCATCACATCAAGGTTAGGGTTCCGTCTGATAGATAAGATTGGGCTTGATGCCTCAGTTTGTTTTGGAGATACTGTACATCAGATGGATGGGGTTCTCCCATCATCTGACATATATTGCTTAATGTGTACACAAAGTCTTTCTTCTACTCCTTTCAGAAGTCGTCAGAAGCCGTTGGGAGGTCTCTGAGCTGTTTTTTGAATTTTTGCCTATTTCTGAAGTTTTCTACGTAATTTTCTGAGTAATGGGACGCTGGGCCCGGTTCCCAGTTAGTGCCAATTCATGAGGATATGCTTGTATCTATGGGACGCTGGACCCGGTTTCCAGCAGGTGCTGCTCCCCACCAATAGATGAAGCTCTTTTCCAAAAAAAAAAAAAAAAAGATGTTGTAAAAAAAACCGAAAAAAAAAGGAT